TCTGTCTCTCTCGTTTTCTTTCTCTTTCTCTCTCTCTCTGTGTCTCTCTCTCTCTCTCGTGTTCTCTCTCTCTCTCTCTCTATGTCTCTCTCTTTCTCTCTCTCTCTCTCTCTCTTTATTTCTCTCTCTCTCTCTCTCTTTCTCTCTCTCTCTCTCTCTCTATGTGTGTATCGCTCTCGCTGTTACTTCTCGCTCTCTCTCTCTCTCTCTCCCTCTCTCTCTCTATGTTCCTCTCTCTCTATAATTGTGTATATATACATACATAGGTATATGTATGTAGATCGTCGTGTTTACCGCCCTCATCCGCCCTCTCCCTCTTGCTCTCTCTATCTCTCTCTCTCTCTCGCTGCCTGCCCTCCCCTAATTGCTTTCGCCTCCCAGCCCTCCCCTCTCTAAGATCGTTCCCGATCCTGCTCTGCCCCGGCCTGTGCTGTCCGCCTGACACAACACGGCCCCTTTGGCATTGAACAAACCCCTCCACCTCCAGATGCTCCCCCTTCTCAATATCGTTTTCCTCCTCCTTCTCCTTGTTGTAGCGTTGCTTATTGTCAGAGTGAGGGGTCCGAACGGTCATCCATTGTCCCTGGGTGCGTGGCTGAAGTGGGGATCCGTGGTGAAGATTATGGTTGTTGCGTTGCTGCGTTATTGCTATGTGTTGCTGTCGTCCCACCCGCGACCCACCCGCGACCCACCCCGCGACCCACCCCGCGACCAACCCGCGACCCTGCCAACCCGCAACCCACTCCCGCGACCCACCCCGCGACCCACCCGCGACTCTCCCCGCGACCCCCCGCGACCCACCCCGCAACCCATCCGAAACCCACCCACGACCCACCCGCGACCCACCCACGACCCACCCCGCGACCCACCCCGCGACCCTCCCCGCGACCCGCCCGCGACCTACCCGCGACTCAACAGCGACCCACCCGCGACTCAGCCGCGATCCATTTTCGACCCACCAACGATCTGCCCACATTGGTTTACCGAAAGAATCGGCGCCTGCGGCGGGTTCGTTGCATGATTTGTGAAACTTTGGCGCCTGCAGCGGGCTTCCCCGGAGTCTCGCTGACCGCCGACGTCCCCACCTCCCCCTCACTCTCATCCGCATCTGCGGGGTGCTATATATCGTCTCTTCTCGGACCTGTCTCTTGGGGGGGCAAGCCAATCCGTGCTCCGTGTTTCTCCCATCACAGTTGGCAGAATATGACCCTCCTCATGAGACCTCGCACCCTCCCCCATAACTCCCCTGACCCCCCTTTCCCAATGACTCCTGACAGCTCATCAAGTAAATACTGAATGGTGATACGGGTGGCGGAGATGTCGATGAAGGTGGTGATGATGACATTGATGAAAATGATGAAGATGATGATGAACGTGGTAGCGGGGTAGTGGCGATGATGATGAAGAGGCTAGAGATGAGGAAACAAAAATGATGGCAACGATTATGATGATGGTGAGGAAAAGGATGGCGGTGGTGGTGACGATGATGGCGATGATGAGTACGAGGGTGATTATGATGATGATCATGTGAATGACGATGGGGAGCAGGAGGACGATACTGGAAATGAGGACGAACATGATGATGATGATGACAACACTGACTATTATGGCAATGGTGATGATGATGGTGATGATGATGGTGATAAAGATGGGGATGTCGATGGTCATTGTGATGATGATAGTGGTCATGATGACGATGACGATGACGATGATAATTTGATGTTGGGGATGAAGATGATGAAGACGAGGACGCGGATGATGATGATAATGGTGGTGGCGGTGGTAACGACGATGGCAGTGGTGAAGGTGATGCTTGTGAAGATGACGATGACGATCGTGGTAGTGATGGCGATGGCGATGATGATGCCGATGGTACTGCTGGCGATATTTGTAGAAGTGGACACTGATGATGATGGTGATCCTGACTGATGCTGATGCGGATTGTGATGGTGGTGGTGGTGCCGGCGGTTATGATGATGATAGCGCTGGTGGTTATGATGATTATGGTAATGGTGAAGATGATGACGGTGATGGTGATGACGGTGATGATGATAATGGTGATGGCGTTGATAAAATTGAAGTGGGTGGGCATAATTACGATGGAGTGATCCAGCTGGTCAAGACAAAGTGGATGATGATGATGAAGACGATGATGGTGGAAATGATGATTCTGATGACGATGCAAGTGGTGATGGTGGTGATGGTGGTGACGCGGGTTATGGTCGTAATGGCGATGATGATGATAGTGATGATGATGATGATGATGATGATGATGATGATGGTAGCGGTGGTGATTATGCTAAGACTGAAAATGATGATGACGATGACGACGATGATGATGGTGGTGGAAGGAGCGCGTTTCACGGGCACTTGCCTTGGCAACATTCGGCGGCACCGACCCCCCCCCCGGCGCCGCCGGCGCCAGAGCCGGCGCTGGCGGCCACCAGCAGCGCCGACGGCGGGGACGCAACGACGATGACCAGAGGCAGCCCAGGGGGGATGGGGTCCAAACCCCCCCTCCCCCCCCCGCGCCAGCGCCAGCGGCGGCGCTGGCGGCGGCCAGCAGCGCCGACAGCGGGGACGCAGCGACGATTACCAGAGAGGACACAAAGGCCGCAGAGGGAACCTCGCCCCCAGAAGCCACCGAGAGGCCACCAGGAAGGTCCACAGACGACCCCGACACCCTTCTGACGAGACCTCAAGAGGCAACATTAGAACTCTGACCCAAAGCCAAAACACGGTGGCGGGAAGAGTCCGGGAAGAGCCGAAGGCCACATCACCACCACCACCACAAACCACACCACCACCACCACAACCACCACCACCACCACCACAACCACCACAACCCACCACCACCACAACCACTACACAACCACCACCAAAAACGCCACCACCACCAGCACCACCACAACCCACGACAACCCACCACAACCACCACCACCACCACCAAAGACCACCACACCATTACCAACACCATCACCACCACCACCAACACAACCATCACCACAACCCACCACCACCACCACAAACCACCACAAACCACCACACAACCACCACCACAACCACCACCACTACCACCACCCACACCCACCACCCACCACCGACAGCACCGTAACCAGCACCACCACCACCACCACAAACCACCACGCCACAACCACCACCACCGACACCACGAATACCACCACCACTACCACCTCAACCCACCCTGCCACCACAAACCACCACACAACCACCACCAGCACAGCCACCACCACCACCACCACAACAACAACCCACCACCACCACAACCAGCACAAACTACCACACCACCACGCCACAACTGCCACAACCACCACCACCACCATCACCTCCACCACCACCCACCACACCACAACCACCACACCACCACACCAATACCACCACCACCACCACCACGGCCACCACCACCAGCACCAGCACCACCTCCACAAACCACCGCCACCACCACAACCGCCACCAACACCACCACAAACCACCACACCACAACCACCACCACCACCATCGCAACAACCCACCACCACCACCACGAACCACCACCCTGCCACCACCAAACCACCAACACCCCCATCACCAACCACCACCACAACAAACCACCACACCAACCACCGCCACAACCACCACCAGCAGCACAACCCACCACCACCACAAACCACCGCACCACCACCACGACGACCACCACCGCCACCACCCACCACCACAACCACCATAACAAACCACCACCACAACCACCACAACCAGCACAACGGCCACCACCACCACCACCACAACCACAACCACCACCACAACCATTACAACCACCACAACCACCACGACAAACCACCACACCACCACCACCACCACCTCAACCCACCACTACCACCAAACCACCACCACAACCCACCACCACCACCACCACCGCACCACCACCACCACCGCCACCGCCACCACCACCACCACAACCTGCCACCTCAACCATCACAACAACCACCACCGCCACCACAACCAACCACCACACCACCACCACCACCACCGCCACCCCCACCACAGCTCAGCACCACCACAACCTCAGAGAGGCCCCAAAAGACGTCCAAGAGGCGCCCAGGATGCTTCGCAAATGTCCTTCAGAGGCCCCCGAGAGCCCTCCGACGAGACCCCAAGAGGCATCTGTTAGGACTCTGACCCAAAACCAAGGCACGGTGGCGGAGCGTCGTCGTCGTCGTCATCGTCGTCGCCGTCGTCCTCGTGGACGCTCCACGCCGCCGCCGCCCGCCGCCGCCGGCCCAGAAAAGGAAGTCGTCGCCCGTCGCCCCCGCCGCCGCCGCCAGCCGCCGCCGACGCAGGCGCCGGCACGAGGAAAGCGAGAGAGAGGAAAAAAAAGGGAGGGCCCCCCCCCCCGTCACGGGAAGGGGAGGGGGGTTCGAAAACAATCCCCCCCTCCATAAAGGGGGGGGGTCTGGTTCCAAACCCCCACCCTCCAAGCAACCACAAGCTCTTTCTGATGGTGATGATGATGACGACGACGACGACGACGATGATGATGATGATGAGGGTGAGGGTGAGGGTGATGGTGGTGATGATGACGAGAAGGAGGAGGAGGAGGAGGAGGAGGAGGAGGAGGAGGAGGAGGACCACGAGGATGATAACCAGGAGGGGGAAGGAAAAGAAAGATCATCCTGGTCATCCCCCGCCTTCTCCTTCTCCTAGGGAGCGCCAAGAGGGCCCAAAGAGAGCGCCAAGAGCGCCCCAAGATAGCCCCGAAAGGGCCCCAAGAGAGCGCCAAGAGGGCCCCAAGGCGGCCCCAAGACTGTCCCGAGAGCGCCCAAGAGCGCCCCACGAGCGTCCCACGAGTGCCGCAATAGAGAATGTGTCTCCCCCTCCTCCCTCCCCGTCCTCCTCCTCCTCTTCCCCCTCCTTGCCCTCCCTTCTGCCGCCTTCTCCGCAGCGAAAGGCGGAGCGCAGCGGCGGAGCGCTGCCGAGGGAGACAGGAGGCAGCCGCGGGAGGCCTTCCAGAGGCACTGGTCCACGAACAAGTCCTCTGGAGCGCGTGCGCTCCCACGCGTCCGCCAAGGGGAGGGGGGAAGTACCAGGAGAGGGCGATGAGGAGGTGCAGGAGGAGGATGGAGAGGAAGGCGGGGAGGACGATAAGTAGGAGGAGGAGGAGGAGGATGGAGCGGCGAGCGCGTCTCCAGAAGGAGGTCCAGCTGACGGACACGCGCGCCTTCTCGCACGTGCTTACACGCGCATGCGCCACACTCGAAGTCTAGCTGAATGAATGAGAATAGGAGCCTGGTCTACGAAGGCAGACGTGGTCGTGCCAGTGTCTTCTCTGAGCTGCCAGGCGAACCCAGCTGCGCTAGCCGACGGTACTAGCTTACAGGCTAGGACGTGGAGGAGGCGGAGGAAGATGGAGGGGGAGGGTGGAGGGAGCTATACGTTGAGCTATACGTAAAGTGGTGATTCCCCGCAGGGCGGAAGGCCACCAGGCGCCGTGCGTTGACCCAGCGACGGCGGGGACGTTGTCCCGCAAATCGTGACCCTGGAAACGCCGTTGCATGGATGGAAGAGGGGGACCAAAACCCTTTCGCAAAACGAAGAAACAGGATGGAACGCTTTGGGCAACGTTCTGCCTCTGGGGGCTTAAAAAACGGGCCCCGGGCTTGTCAAAAAACGACTCGGGACAAAAAGCCGTCCCAGGAATGGGGTCGAGCCCTCTGGGGGCCCACGTCGTAGACCATCATGTCGGAACGCTGGGAGGGCTGGGTCGGTGACCTGTCAGGGGCACAGGGGCCCGCGGGCCACGGAGGGGCCAGCAGCCTGAAACAACGAACAACAGCCTGTCAGGGGGCAGCATTAATTACCCCGCAGGCCGTTGCGGAGGAGGGAGGGAGGAACAGATTACTCCGCAGGCCGCTGTTGCAGGAGCATTGTCATCCTGCAGGCAATTGCGAGGGAGAAGTATGACAAGGGAGGAGGAGCAGCAGGAGAATGAGCAAAGGGAGAAGGGGCAGCAAGGATGCTATTCGCGGGAGGGGGCATTTGACGCCATTCGCCCAGCCCCCTTGGTGGTGCCCGAGGCCGCACTGGTCTTGCACTCGGCCGAAGAATGAGTCAGCTGGCCGGGAGCAGAGGAGCACGGGAAAGGATCACCTGGAAGGATTGCATGAGACGTAGAATGTACGGGGCAGAGGAGCGCGGGGGTGGGAAGAGGAGGCCAAGGAGGGGGAGGAGGAGGGAGAAGGAGCAGGAGAAGCAGGAGGGCGGCGGGTGTAAGGGTGGGGGCAGGATGCTATCCCCTTGAGCCCGCCTCGAGCACCAAACGGCAGCGGCGAACAAAGTGGGAGGGAACGACGTTGCATAAACACGCAGGTCGTTGCCATGACGGATAGATGGCATTGCGTAATCCGTAGGCCAATGCCGAGGAGGGGGCAGCATTAACCCGCAGGCCGCTGTTGCGTAGGGAGCATTACCCCGCAGGTCATCCCGAGATCCCGAGATCCCTCCTCCCAGGGTCATTCCTCCCCTCTCCCTCCCCCTCCCCCCTCCCCCCTCCGCCTCCCCCACCCACCTCCTCCTTCCCCTCCCCCTCCCCCCACGCGTGCTCCCGCGCGCGTGGGAGCACGCTCCGCAGGGCTCCTCACCCCACATGCAGTCCCCGTTGCACTTCGCCTTGCGAGGCGGGGGGGCTGGAATCCGCACGGCACGCACGGCAGGCCCGCGCGGTGACTCGGCGGCGCGCCCAGACAGAAGGCAGCGGGGGCGGGCCTCCTCAGAAGGATCAGAAGACCTCCGGCCCTCTGAGCAGCTCTCTGAGCGAGCGGGCCCTCATCGGAGGTTTGGGCGGGTGGGCGGGACATCAAAGCGAGACGGGCGAAGCGAGGCGAGCAAAGCAAGTCTGGGCGCAGCGAGCGGTCGAAGCAAGTCTGGGCGAAACAAACGCACACGCCTCAGAAGCCCCCAAGAGGTTCCCAGGAAGCCCCCCGGAAGCCACAAGCCGCCCTCAAGAGGACTCATGTTCCTCCTCCTCCTCCTCCTCCTCCACCACCACCACCATCACCACCACCACCATCAGCATTATCATCATTAGCATCATCATCATCATCAGCAGCAGCATCATCATCATCAGCATCATCAGTATCGTCATCGTCATCGTCATCACCATCACGATCACCATCATCATCACCGTCATCATCGCCATCATCATCAGCATCATCATAATCAGCATCATCATTACCATCATCATCACCACCAGAATCATCATCATCACAATCACCATCATCATCATCATCATCGGCAGCATCAGCATCATCGAAATTAGAATCGTGATCACAGTCAGCATCATCAGACACATCATCATCAGCAGCTTCACCATCAGCATCACCATCACCATCACAATCGCAATCACCATCACCATCATCCTCATCGTAATCATCATCATCATCATCATCAGCACCATCATCATCATCATCATCAGCATCATCGTCATCGTTATCATCATCATCATCATTAGTCGCATCCTCATCGTCATCATCACCAGCATCATCATCATTATCATCATCATTACAATCACCATCATCATCAGCATCATCATAATCATGGGCATCACAACCACCACCACCACCCCCACCACCACCACCAACCCTTCAAACACATCATCACCAGCATCATCATCATCAATCACCAACATCATCAGCATCATCATCAACAGCATAATCACCATCATCAGCATCACCATGACCATCACCATCACAATAATCATCACCATCACCATCACCATCAGCATCATCAGTATCATCAGCATCACCATCATCATCAGCATGATCCTCATCACTATAACCATCAGCATCATCATCAGCAGCATAATCATGATCATGATCATCAGCATCATCAGCATCATCAGCATAATCAGCATCATCAGCATCAGCATCATCACCAGCATCATCAGCATCATCAGTATCACCAGCATCATCAGCATCGTCATAATGATCAGGAGCATCATCATCATCATCATCAATGTCGGCATCATCATCAGCAGCATCATCATCACCATCATCATCATCACCATCATCATCACCATCATCAGTGTCAGCATTATCATAAGCAGCATCATCCGCACCACCACCACCACCACCACCACCCCCGACACCACCACCACCATCATCATCAACATCATCAATGTCACAGTCATCAGCATGATCAATATCATAGTCATCAGCATGATCACCATCATCAGCATCATCATCATCATCAAAATCAGCATTGCCGTCTTCGTCATCATCATCAGCATCAGCATAACCAGCACCATCATTCTCAATTGCATCGTGATCATCATCATCATCGTCATCAGCATCATCATCATCAGTATCTTCATCATCAACATCATCAGCATCGTCATCTTCATCATGCTCATAAGCACTATCATCATCGTCATCATCAGCATCAGCATCATCATCACCAGCAGCATCATCCTCATCACTACAAATACCAGCATCATCATCATTGCCACAAGGATCATCCCCAGCAGCATCACCATCATCAACCGCATCTTCATCATAATCATAATCATAATCATCATCATCATCATCACCATCATCATCATCATCATCATCAACATCGCCACCATCAGCATTATCAGAATCAATAACATCATCATCATAATCATCATCATCAGCATAAGCATCATCATCAGCAGCAGCATCAGCGTCATCATCACAAGTATCAGCAGCATCGTCATCGTCATCAGCATCGGCATCATCATATCCATTGTCATCAGCAGCACCAGCATCAGCATCAGCATCATCATAACCATAATCAGAATTATCATTAGCAGCAGCACCATGATCATCAGCATTATCATCAGCAGCATCAGCATGATCATCATCATCATCGTCACCACCATCACTATCACCAGCACCATGATCATCACCATCATCGTCGTCATCAGCAGCATCGCCACCATCATCAACAGCATCATCATCGGCACCATCATCCTCACCATCATCAGCAGCGTAAGCATCGGCATCAGCATCAGCATCATCATCAGCATCATCATCAGCATCATCAGCAGCAGCATAACCATCAGCATCATCAACAGTATTAACATCACCCTCATCCTCATTCTCAGCCTCTTCCTAATTATCAGCACCACCATCATCATTAACATCATCATCATCATCATCATCATCATCATCATTGCCATTGCCACCGGCATCATATCAACAGCACCATCACCACCACCACCAACAACACGTTCCTCATCATCATCAGCATCATCATCATAATCATCGTCATCATCATCATCAGCATCATCACCATAACCATTTCATCATCACCAGCATCTGCAGCACCATCACCATCACCATCGTCACCAACAGCATCATCATCGTCGCCATCATCCTCGCCATCATCAGCATCATCCTCAGCAACACCATCATCAACATCATCACCGAAATCATCCACATCGCCATCATCACCATCACCACCACCATAACCATCATCGTCATCATCATCATCTCAAAATCATCATCGTCGTCGTCATCATCCTCTTCCTCCTCGACTTGTGGGGTCTTTGGTGGAGCCCCAAGGGGGCCACGACGCGCTGCACTGGGTGTGGCAGACGCATGCGGGCACCCCCGCTGGGGCCTTCGTTGGAGCTCCGTATGGGGCCTCGAAACGCTGTAGTGGGTTTCGCGGACGCACGCGGGCACCCCCATTGGGGCCTCCGGTGGAGCTCCCTATGGGGCCTAAAAAAGCGCTTTACTGAATGCGGCGACCGCATGTGGGCACCCATCGGGGCATGCGGTGGAGCCCCCCATGGGGCCACGAAGTTTGTGAAGGGTGTGCCGACATGGTGGACATGCCGTGAGCAGAAGCAGGGATGGGAGGAGGGAGGAGGAGGAAGAGGAGGAGGAGGAGGAGGAGGAGGAACGCGGGGCACTGTCTCTCCAAAAAGATGAGCCATAACCACAGGATGGCTGGGAAATCAAAAACCATGGGCGCTGACAAAGCATCCCTGCAACATCCCGAGATCTGTTTCAAAATCATACAGTGGTTGGCGCGCGTTGTTGCGTTGCGTTGCTGCGTTGTTTCTCGAGCGCAGTAGGGCTGAAGGGCCTGTTGCGAGGGAAGGGGAAGAAAAATGGAACAACAACAAAAAACAAAATAGGAAAGGGTGAAACACGCCCATGCACATGTATATATGTAGGTTTGTATATATATATACATACACATACATATGTATATATATATATATATATATATATATTCACGTACACACATATATATATAAAGAGAAATATACATTTATGTACACATGCAGCCATGTACATATATCGGGAACGCCGCCCACCATCCTCCTTTTCCATTTCATCCTCTTCCTTTTCCTCCTCATTATCATCCTCCTCCGCTTCCGCGTCCGCTTCCTCGTACATTTCACCGGCCTTAGGTTACCCTGTGGCGCTAGTGATAACTTGCAAACGCGATTCGACTCAAGCAAAGTCATGAACACAGCGGGCGCCGCGGGCCAAGTGAGAAAACGAGCCATGGACAAGAGTAGACAATTGAGTGGGCGCCCGCGTACCTTAGTACCCTCTCCTCCTCTAAACTAACCCATCCCCCCATTGTAAACACCTGCTGCTAAAACACGGGCGTTATGCAAACGCATACGAAACGTGGTGCGTGGGGAATTCGTTGTGAAGACAAGAACTGCTGAAATTTACTGGGCTGCGCGTGGCAGGCAGTCCACAGTGGGAATGGACGGCCGATCCCCTACCGACGTGCCACAATGGCAACTCACTGTAACCAGCAATATGTCAGTCGGGAGGAAAAAAACATAGTCAGCCCAGCTAGTCACGAAAGTCCTCCACCTCCACCTCAAGCATGGCACATATCACCCCCCCCCCCCTCTAGGTACATGCCGCGAAGAGCGCAGAGGTAAAAAGAAAGAGGGCGTTCTCCACCGCCACCTCTAAGACAGCGTGCGGATCAGCCCCTGCGGGGGCCCAGCTGGGCGAGATGAGTACTGTAGCGAGGCCTTAGAGGCTCGTCCCTAACCTTCAAAGAAAAACGCGCAATCGTTGGGCTGCACTGGGGTTTTTCAGGCGCACCCTACCCTGCAAAAAGATAGCTTGCAGAATGGCGATTTTCCTCCGCGGTCATCACGTACATTTCAGTTAGTACACTCTGCGCAGGCTGCTTTGCTGGGGCCCATGCACGGGCAGGCCGCTCACGAGTAGCCTGGTGCAGCTGCGAGACGAAATGAGAGTGGGTGAAGGCTTGCTGCTGCGCAAAACGGCACTGCTGCTGCGCTGCGAGCGCCCTGCGCGCTGCAATAAGGCGTTTGAAGTTTACCCCTACTCTGCGAAACAGAGGGCGCGCAGTTTCTCAGCGGCTATTCAGAGTTTTGCTAGGCAGCCCCGAATCGACGTAGAAAGTTCCTCCTCCGAGACCGCCGCGGCATAGCAATAAGCCCCCGCCTGCGCGATTAGCAAGGTGAGGGTGCCACTATTGCTGCCTGGCTGAGTCCGAGGCTGCATGCGCAGGCGCGCACTCTGCGCAGGCCGCGCTGCGGGGGCGCATGCGCGGGCGGACTGCTCGCGCATAGCCTGGTGCAGAAACAGGAGAGGAATCAGATCGCGCGGAGGTGTTCGCCCCGTTGCGCAAGATCTAAA